ATGGTTAACAAAATATAATTTATTAGTCACATGGTCAATACACATGAATCATTCATACATCCACATAATGTGTAACCAACCATTCTCCAGAATTACATTTACTACATGGTGTCATTTGATTATTTGGTAAGTAATTCATAACAAATATGAATAATAATGAGTTTGATATTATCGATTCCTAATTTCCTAATTATTTATACATGTATCAAATACAAAATACATATGCTCCGTATAAGGTTAATTAAAAAAAATGCCAAGTTTATTTCCAAAACCAAATTGACGGACTAGAAGCAATTGATGATTTCTTTGATTATAATTATACGATAGTATATATTACCTTATATATTTTCCTAATTAAATCAATACTTTTTGTAGTATTATGGCACATATTAGCAAAAGAGAGTTTGACGTCCTTGATTTATCTGGCCAAAAGTATTTGCAATGTAAAGTCGACGCTTTGGCACATTTGAAAGCAAATGCCCTTGAAAATACAATTGCTGAAAATAATTCAGCCACTCCCCAAAATAAGGCAAAAGCCATCATCTTTCTTCGTCATCATCTTCATAAAAGTTTGAAATCTGAGTATTTATTGGTAGATGACCCTAAAGAATTATGGGATAATCTCCAAGAAAGGTATGGCCATCAACAAAAGGTCCTTTTACCAAAAGCTCAATATGACTGGATCAATTTATGATTCCAGGATTACAAATCTGTAAGTGACTACAATTCTGCTTTGTTCCAAATAACATCAAAACTAAAGTTATGCGGACAAAAAGTCACTGATACTGAAATGTTGGAGAAAACTTTGTCCACTATGCATGTTTCAAATGTGCTTTTACAAGAGCAATGTAGACAAGCATTTTCAAAAGTATTCTGATTTGATATCAGTATTACTATTTGCAGAGACGAATATCGACATTTTGATGAGAAACCACAATATGAGACCCACGGGTTGTAGCCCGGTTAGTTTTGGTCCACCAAATCATGGTTCAAAACATGAATCAAATGCAACCCATAGTGGTGCTCGTGGACATTTCAAACGTGGTCGTGGTATTGGTCATTATAATGGACCTAGCCGGGGAAACAAACAGAGTAGTAGCTCATTTTACAAAGGCAAGGGTAAGCAAAACCCCCATCAAACAAAGAGCCCGACGAAATCTTTAGAAAAGGCCAAAGTCACTTGCTTTAAGTGTGGCACGTCGGGACATTGGGCAAATAAGTGTCGTACACCTAGACACTTGGTTGATTTATATAAATCATCTCTAAAAGGAAAGAATGTGGAAACTAATTACGTCAACGAAAACGATCCACCAATGCCCACATTCAATGTGTCTGATTTCTATATGGACGATAATGAGATGAACACCGACATCATTATGGGTGAAAAATAATAAATAAGTAAATAAAAAGGATTTTGAAATAATTCTGTTATGTAATATATTCTACAATAAAAGTTTGTTTGTATTGTAATTTTTATTTGGTGTGCTTATTTCGATTGTAAATGTTATGTACATTTTAATGAATAAAACCTTGTTTATATTAAGTATTGAACTAATATTTGTTCATTTTTATATTTTCGAAGATATGGAGTTAACTAAAATTTCTTCAAGTGACTCTGAACAATGTCTAATAGACAGTGCCACAACGCTTGAACATTTGAGAAATGGTATTTTCATCCACCAATCAAATTATACCGAAAAACTTTTGAAGCGATTTTACATGGATAAAGCACATCCGCTCAATTCTCCAATGGTGGTTCGATCTCTCAATGCGCATGATGATCCTTTCCGACCTTGTGAAGATGATGAAGAAATCCTTGGTCCCGAAATACCATATTTGAGTGCTATTGGAGCATTAATGTATTTGGCTAATAATACTCGACCAAATATTGCTTTTCCTGTAAATTTATTAGCCAGGTACAGTTCTTCCCCAACAAGAAGGCATTGGAATGGTGTCAAACATATATTCCGATATCTCAATGGTACAATCGATCTTGGATTGTATTTCAAGAATGGTGCAAATGCCACTTTAATTGGCTACGCCGATGCAGGATACTTGTCTGATCCACAAAAAGCAAAATCACAAACAGGATATTTATTCACCTATGGTGATACCGCTATATCATGGAGATCAATGAAGCACATTAACTGCAACATCATCAAATCATGCAGAATTAATTGCTCTTTATGAAGCAGGTCGAGAGTGTGTCTGGTTGAGATCAATGATCCAGCACATACAAAATGAATGCGTTATAAAATCTTTTACTTCTAATCCTACCGTGATTTATGAAGATAATGCAGCATGTATAGCTCAGATCAAAGGAGGTTACATCAAAGGGGACAGAACAAAGCATATATCACCAAAACTTTTCTCCACACATGATCTTGAGAAAGACGGAACGGTTGATGTCAAACAAATCAAGTCATGCGACAACTCTGCTGATTTGTTCACAAAGTCATTGGCACCGAAGAAATTTGAAGAACTGGTCCATAAAATTGGAATGTATCGTCTTCGAGATATATGTTAAATTGAGGGGGAGTAATATAATGCACTGCACTCTTTTTCCCTTCGTCAGGTTTTTATCCCACTGGGTTTTTCTTGACAAAGGTTTTTAATGAGACAATACATTATAATACTATGAAACTAATACCCCAGAATAATTAGAAGATGACCATTCAAGGGGGGTGTTGAAATATATTGAATAGTCATCTTCCAACTATTCATGATCAGGAACACTTATCATCATTGTTAATATAAATAAGAAATCATAATTATGATTTCTAGATGGTAATTGTATGGCTCACAATTAGCCCCTGATCTAGACATGATTACATTTTCTCCTATAAATAGGAACATTCTCCTTCATTGTAAAAACACCATTATCACACTCTCAATAATATAATCTATCACTAAGTGTTCATACTATATTTCTCTCCCTGATCTTCTCCTTATTTCCTTCCATATTATAACACTTTCCAAATATTCCAACAACAAATAATCCCAGGGAGTACGGACTACTGAGTAAGTAATGACAACCCAATTAAATTTGTATTCCTAACAACAAAATGTTATCATACATTCATACCATATTATTCATATGCACGGCCTCTATAAAATACTCCACAAGTATCAATGAACATCAAAAAATTTATTTCTTTTTGAAATCAAACTGGTTTTTTGACTTTTTCATCCAAATTGTTGTTTAGTTACTCTTTTAAATTTCAAACAGACAATTTTCTTTATTTTATATTAATTGTAATCAACATAACTTTTACCACAATTACTAACAAAAAACAGCAACTATACAATAACATCCTTGCATGACTTTGACCTTCATAGCAACAATTTCCATTAAGCTAATTTACCAAACAATTATCATACAAATAGCCAATATAATCAGTCATTCAAAGTAGCTAATTCAACGAGTTATTGTTTAAATATTAACACAACCAACTAATAGATAACATGTGATGCTAAACAAGGACACAATCTTATTGATTCTATTTTGAGTCATTTTGAATACAGAGTAGCTAGAAAACTACCCTTATTTTACTACAAATCTAGGGGTGGACATCGGTTTTCGATTCGATTTTTATCGATTTTGGTTTGGTTTTGAACGAATTGGAGGAATTATTACCAAACAAAAACCACTATTTTTTTATTTGGTTTTGATTTTTAAGTTTTGAATAATAATCTCTCCATCCATTAAAGGTTTGCCAAGTTTGTTTGGCACGTAAAATAATAAAGTAAACATTGTGTCGTAGAAATTTGCGTAGGGGAGAGAGAAATAACAAAAGCCACAAATCGATTGATTAAAAGGGAAAATGACAAAGTTTTTGGGACAAAAAAGGAAAGTTGACAAAATGATTCAGTTTGATACGATTCAGTTTGATTAAATCTAACTGTTATGCCCACCCCTACTCTAATTCTAGTTCTAGCTAACACCTGAACCGGTAAAATGAGTTATTGAGGGAATAAAAAAGGAGAGGTTTTATGAAAATACATATGACTCCCTTATGGAGTCATCATCATAACTGCATAATTATTTAATGGAGAGTTCCACTAAATAATACTATCCTCGTTTTCTAATATTTGCAATAGTTTGAATTTCACGTTTGTTAATGCTCAACTTTAATTATTTTTAATTACACATTAGTCAATATTATAAAAGGTTACATTACATTTTGAAAATTCACGCTAATATAAATTTAATAACATTTTATACATAATAATTTAATTATATATATTACTCCCTCCGTCCCAAAATTAACTTCTCACTTTCCTTTTCGGGCAGTCCCGAAATTAACTTCACACTTCAAAACTTTCCTTATTTGGCAAATAATCTACATAAAAAAAGTGCCAAACAATGTCAAACAGTGTTTAAACAGTGTAAAACAGTGCACTCCACAGTAAAGTCAAATTTATTTTCTTAACCTGTGTGAAGTCAAACTGATAAATTCATTATGGAACGGAGGGAGTAATAGAAATTTTCTCCCTCCGTCCCTTATAACTTTGCCAACTTTCCTTTTTTGGACGTCCCATTAACTTTGCCACTTTCCCATTTAAGTAAAGAATGTGTGGTTCCAATTAATTCTCTCTCCTCTGCACAAACCTCAATCACACAGTTTTTACTTTATTAATCTTCGTGCCGGTCAAACTTGGCAAAGTTATTAGGGACGGAGGGAGTAATAACATACGGAGTAGTATACATAATGATTTAATAATTCAATTATATTGTAACAAAAAAAATTCAATTATATACTACCTCCGTCCCGTTGGAATGTTCCCGGTTTGACCTACACACATATTAAGGAAATAAACTTACCAGGGGGTAAATTTTACTGTTTGGACACTGTTTGACACTGTTTTGCACTATTTGACACTGTTTTGATGTAGGATAACTTTCCATTTAGGGATATCCAAAAAAGGAAAGTGGGAACATTCCAACTGGACGGAGATAGTATTAAAAATCACTCTGGCATCTTTTAACTTTGTAAGAAATTGAAGTACTCAGGGTATGTGTTTTCATGAAATTTTTGATGAAAAGGAAGCACTCCCGAGAACTCATCATACTCATCACCCCCAATCCTACGTCACCGGAAGCAGCGCATCGGCGACGACCAATGGCTATCAGATCAAGTGGTCGTAAAATATCCTTCAATATTCTCACAGCCTCAGCCAACGGAGACGGCGACGATATTGAATGGCTCTCAACTGCAGCCGCTGCTCTTCACCGATCCAAGTCCGATCCTCCCGACCCCCGCCAAAAGCCCCACAAGAAGAAGAAAAAGAAGAAAAACCAGAGTAAGGTGATTGAACATTCGCCGGTTTCTGAAAGTCTCATTTGCTGTGATGTAGCGGCCCAACGGGATGAAAGTAATTTCACTATTAGCTCGGTAGTTGGGACGCAGCATAGCGAACTGCGGCAGAGGAATGCGGTTTTGAGTGGAGCGAAAGAAGAGGGAGTGACGTCGTTTCCCCTTAACAAGGAAACCGAGAGGAATGGAGATGGAAAGAGCGAAGCTGAGAAAGTGGAACGTAATGCAAGGGGGGAAATGGTGAATGGAGGGGATGTGATTATGGGGCGTAATTTGGAAAAAGAGGTCTCTCTGGACTGGAAGAGGTTGATGGCTGAGGATCAAAACAGTAAGTATACTTAATTGGCTTACATTTTGAGCCTCTTTAAATCCCTCTACTAATTGGCTGCTGTTTGCAATTACTTCTGAGTTGCTGCTTTTTTTTTTGTGTAGAGAAAATTATCTGGGTAGTGTGTTTTAAATGTACTTGTGTTGTGTTTAGACAAAATTTATTCGCGGGCCTTAAGTGTTCCATGTGCATATTAGACCAATAGAAAGAACTCATTTTTAGTATAGCCTACCGGGTAACAATATCAATACTAGCACTCTATGATATTAGAATTTAGAATCATTTTGATCATATGCTCCACATTCGAATGAAAGGAAGATCTAATCAAGATACTTGGAAAGTAAGAATTATAGAATTTTGCAAATGTAATAACATCGGTACACTCATAAGTAATTTTCCATTCCTTTTTGTTTGCATGATAATGCATTGCTTATTTGTAAAGAATAGTTATCTTACTTCTGTTCTGAACAAGTAACACCATCTTCTCTTACTTTATATACCAATTTTTTTTTAATCAAATTTGATTCTGGTTTTTGTGACTTTGTAAAGCTTTTAATGTAGTTTTTGAATATGTAATGTTTCTCTAAAAATAATATGAGTGCTGACAGGGATCCGTTTGATTTATTGCTGGTCAAGATCGTAAACCACAATGGGACAATAATAGGGGGATGGAGGTAGTTCTATCCAAATATTTTAATATTTTATGAAGTAGAGTTGTGGACACAGATGAGAAGAAACATTTTTCTTACTCACCTAACTTTGTAGATTCCAAATAACAGAAGATCTTAAGTTTACTTATCAAAGAAGAAGAACTAAATGTTGAAGGTAATACCCATAGAATGCCCCTGGGCCCAGGTGGTGGCCTGAATTTATAAGCCTGCTGCGTTAATGATTCAGCAAGCCCTTGCTAATTGCTGAGCAATTTTGACATAATTACGCTACATTAGACAGTTTACATCCATATGACCATACTAGTCCTGAAACTGGTCCTGCATCCTTGTAGTTTCCCCAATGGTTGTTGGGTTGCTCTCCTCAAAGGCTTGCAAAACATGTTTTTTAACTACTACTTACAACTCAGGAATATCATGTATAAGTTAGTAGTTGCCTGATACTCAAAAGAAAGGACTCAAAGGAGTAATTGTCTAACTTCAGGGTATCCATAGATGGCACACCCAGTACAATATGGTCCTTGGCCCTCCATTTCTTCCACATGTTTCTGCTTTCATCATGATTACTACAAGCAGCGTTGAGGTTCCCTAATAAAACATTCTTTGGATGTTGTCACTGGTATATGTTAGAGTGTTAGACTGTGTATATTAACCCTGAGAGGATCATCTGCTAATTTTAGTCACTTGTAAGACAGTGTTGGAAAGAGAAGTCTCACTGATATCTCCGTATCCACTGCACACGGTTTCATTTTTGTACTTATGGAGTATGGATATTATTTCAACTAGGGTTGGTCCAAAAATGAAAGAAAAAAATAAATTATGAGTAAAGTGAAGGTTAATAATTTGCTTTAGAATATGCATTTAGCTTTATAGATTGTTTTCCTCATTGCTTTCATGCAGATGAGTTTCATGTGGAGAAGTCACCAGTGAAGTTTTTAGTGGAAGAGATGTATGCTGGAAATTCTTTAAAAAGCACAGTGTGCCTCGGTAATGAGAAAGAACGAGAGAGAGTGTATGACACGATAATCCACCTACCTTGGAGGTGTGAACTGGTATGATGCAAGTTGAATGGTCCTATTGGACAACTGAATATGGAGATCTGCCTTATAAAAATCAGTCCTTCCATCCCGTCTCATTAGCCCCACTTTATCTTCCTTTGTCTGTTTGTCTGACAAATATGTCCATTTTCCTTTTTTTCAACTCCACTAACTTTCTTCTTCCTTATCCAATTTACCCTGTTATGATTGGCATGTTGATTTACTTGCAAAACTATTTATAAAACTTACCTTCTTTAATTTTCACGCAAAAAGAAGTTGGGACATATATTTTTGGACGAATGGAGTATCATAGTTTCTGTAATGGTTTAAGTTGTTTGCCCTAAATTATCAAGGTGGAACTTAGGTAATATCTTTCTTGCATGCAACTTATAGGAGTTATAGCCTGCACACTCTGATTGTCCTTTCCCATGCTCTTTAGATATAGCTTCTCAATTTCCTATTTGTGGTACATGACATCAACATCACTTTGCAGCTTATTAATGTGGGATTTTTTGTCTGCTTGGATTCATTTCTCTCATTGCTAACTATTATGCCAACAAGGATCATCACAACCTTCTGCAAGTTTTTGAAAACTTGGTCAGGCTATTCTCTTTGTTTGATTCTCCATACTGCAAATTGCAATAATCATGTTCCTATCACTTTTCAGCAAGAATCTGTTCAACAAAATTTTCTGGGTGGAAAAACTTTCTTCTCTAGCATCGATGATAAAATGAAGATAACTTATGATCTGTGTGTTTTTATTGCACTCGCTCCTTTTTCGTAGATTTATTTAACTATGTTAAGCATGAAAACGAACTTCGTTTCATAGTTTAGTTCAAGGTGCCCATGCTATTTTAGTCTAGTCTGTTTTGTGAAGCTTAAAAAGGGTGTCTAAGGAAGAAATGCACATACATGTTGGGCTGACAGATATAATGTTAGGAATCTGCTTATTGAGTATTTTAATAGGGTATTTGAAAGAAGAAATAAAATGGGCCGAGGTCAATTAAGTGGGCTGGGGTCATTATATGTTAGTCCCTGCGTGGACCTACTACTATAAATAGTAAGTTGGGTAGCTAATAATAGGTAGACTGATATTTTGATTCTAAGTGTTGCCTGTTGCCTTGTTGCCTAAGTCCGGATTATCCTTGTAGCCTACGGTTTACCTATTACGTCAATACACATCCCTTCCATATCATCTCTATCAGATCTACGTTTCTGTTTACTGTTTATTGCCAGAATATTGCCAGGTGCTTATCATTGGTATCAGAGCCGTTTCTCCTGGGGATCGGATTATTGCCAGAGCATCGTTCCTGGGGGATCGCAAGTGAAGTGCGATTACTGTAGATCGATCGGTCGATGGTAAAAACGAGATCCAAAATGGAACAACGCTTGGAAGCCTTTGAGCAGGAGATGCGAGCTACCATCGCGAATCTCACTGTCGCGATGAATGAGCAAATCCAGAACAGCATCGCGACATCCATGGCAACTTATCAGAACAGGAGGGAACCGTCCAGAGGGAGATCGCGATCACTGCATCACCGCTCCCCTCATCACCGTCGATCACGATCACCACATCACTACCGATCGCGATCACCACACAGCCCAGAGCACTCGAGAGGTAATTCTGTAAACTCTCCTATCCCTACTCGCAGAGTGAATACTGGTCGGAAGGTGGATTTGCCATTGTTCAATGGAGTAGGTGCCTATAACTGGTTAATAAGAATGGAGCGTTATTTTAGATTGAATAGAACAGAGGAGGAAGACAAGGTTGAGGTTTCAATGGTGGCTATGGATGATAGGGCCTTGAATTGGTTTCAGTGGTGGGAACAACAGGCGGAGGAGATAACCTGGGAAAATCTGAAGGATGCGGTTATCCGTAGGTTCCAACCCGACTTATTGCAGAATCCCTATGGACCCATGTTGAGCCTGAAACAGACTGGAACTGTGGAGGACTATCGGGATGAGTTTGAGATGGTAATAGCTCCACAGAAGAACATAGACAGGGGTATGCTGAGAGGCATTTTTATCAATGGCCTCAAGGATGAAATCAAGGCTGAACTGAAACTCTTCAATGGCAAATCTTTAGCTGCTACCATGGACAGGGCCCAAGCGATTGAGAAGAAAAATGATGCTATATACACTAAGGGTAAAACTACAGAGAAATTGGAAGGAAGGGACAAGGGATCCATGAACTATAGACAACCTGTTTGGGGAGAGGGATACAAGCCAAAAGCTGGAAGTTCAGGATCCCAGACTGGTGGTAGAAATAATTCAGGACAGCAGGGCACTCAACCTTGGTTTACTCCCGATGGGAAGAAGGAAACTGAGATAAATCCCTCAGACATAAGAAGAGTAGGGCCACAGCTGACACAAGAAGAATACCAAGATAGAAGTCGAAGGGGACTTTGCTTCAAATGTGGTGAAAGGTGGGGTAGAGAGCACTCATGCAAGATGAAGAATTACAAACTGATTCTAGTGGAGGATTCCGAGGGAGAAGAGGAACTAGATAACTCAGAAGTAATCCCGGAAGATGAAAACATCACCATGGAATCTAAGTCCCTGCAATTATCCTTCATGAACCAGGAGGATACACCTTCCATGAGGGCTTTCAGGGTACATGGAATTCTGAAATGGGCTAAAGGAGAGAAGCTAGTAGAGGTTCTAATTGATAGTGGAGCCTCCCACAACTTCATATCACAGAAAATGGTAGAGCAGTTGACCCTCCCTTATCAGACCATTGCTGACTACAAGGTCCAGCTTGGGAATGGTGATAAGGTCTCAAACAAGGGCAGGTGTGAAAAGTTAATTCTGTGCATGCAGGGAGCTGTCATTCAACAAGATTTCTACATGTTGGAGTTAGAGGGAACTGACTTGGTTCTTGGCATGGATTGGTTGACTGGATTGGGGAATGTGGAAATCAATTTTCAGAATAAGAGCATAAAATGGCATCAGCTGGGGGTAAGCCAGGCTATTCAAGGGGTTCTTAAGTCAAATTTTATGGAAGTATCTCTGAAGACCAAGTCACAAACTGTACAAGAGACTGGTGATGGCTATCTGATTTACTGGGAAGGCAGAAAGTTGGAGGGAGGAGGAAATCAGCTGAAGGATACTAAAAGGGAAGGAGTTGTGGCAGAATTTCCTAAGATATCTACTACCAGATCTAAATTTCCTCTTTCCAGTAGGTCTGACTATGCTATTAACATTAAAGGAGGAGCAGAAGTACCTACCCTGAAGCTTTGTAGGTACCTGCCATACCAAAAAGGTGTAATCGAGAGGATTATCAAAGATATGCTACAAGAAGGAATTACTGGGAAGAGGTGGACTGATAAATCAGCTGAAGTTGGGAAGATGCTGCTGCATCATAATGAAGGACTGAGGAAGCAAGTGGCTGCAGTTCTTTATGATGTAGCAACTGAAATTTCTACAAGGACAGCTGGATTTTATCTGGCAGAACCTTTATATGATGTTGTTGGCTACACAGTAGAGGCTTCAAGTGTAATTCTAGGGAACTTTGATAACCAGCTTCTGCTCCTGTTTGCTGTGAAAGACGTGATAATGAAAGTGAAAGAAATGAAGCTCCTAGATCAGAAACCAAGGAGGTACTGGGAAGGAAGAGGTTCCAGGATGAAGAGGAAGTTTAAGATCAAGGCTGTGTCTTATTACCCACCTTGAGGGCAAGGTGGTTAATTAGGGGGGGGAGTAATGTTAGGAATCTGCTTATTGAGTATTTTAATAGGGTATTTGAAAGAAGAAATAAAATGGGCCGAGGTCAATTAAGTGGGCTGGGGTCATTATATGTTAGTCCCTGCGTGGACCTACTACTATAAATAGTAAGTTGGGTAGCTAATAATAGGTAGACTGATATTTTGATTCTAAGTGTTGCCTGTTGCCTTGTTGCCTAAGTCCGGATTATCCTTGTAGCCTACGGTTTACCTATTACGTCAATACACATCCCTTCCATATCATCTCTATCAGATCTACGTTTCTGTTTACTGTTTATTGCCAGAATATTGCCAGGTGCTTATCATATAAGGGTAATGGCTGTCGTGTATTATGAATTTATGATCAAAGTTAGAAGGAAAATAAGAGGCTGTTACTGACTGTAAGGCTAGGTGCAACATGTTTCGAATGTTTCGTAAAATTGCTTTGAATTTTAGGAAGAGGTGTACCTTAAAGCTTGTGTGATTATTCGAAGAGTCTTAGAATCTATTTTCATTTCTTTTGCCACTGTCTTCTTGTTTCCATGTGATGACTCAGTGCAGAAATAATTTGGTAGCAAAATCACCTGTTATTGTATATTGCAGGCAGTTAAGTAGACCTTCAACAGCTCAGCTTTGTGATTTTGGCTGTTTTGTTACACTGATTATTGGGGTCACCCTATTACAACAAACAGGTATGCATGGAAGTCCAGCCTTGTACAATAGTAGTATATGTCCAGTATACACACTTCTCCCTTTATGGTTTCTCCTTGTCTTATTAATTTGTTTACTATTTGATTCTCAGATATAAGTTTAATATATCATATGATTCGGGGTCAAGGGACAGTCAAGCTTTATGTGGTATACAATGTGTTGGAGGTGAGAAAGCTATACTACATCATTGCCCAAAAATAGTGCATACTGCTCTTATATTGGATTGGTACCATATTCAATTGCATTGTAGGATGATTAAACTGCATCGTCAGTATTGCATTTCCATATGCTCTTGGACAACATCTAGGGTGATAATTTGTTTTCTACTTACATTGCTATACACGACAATTGATTTTTTCAATGGAGTATTCTTTTACCATGAGCTGCTTGCTCTCTTACCAAACAAAACTGGTTTCCCACACGATTCATGACATTCTATGTCTGTTTCATTAATATGGGTGAACTCGCAATTTTTATTAATTCAGCAATTGTTTGCTAATTCTGTAAGTATTACATATGCAGATATACTATTACATATCAGATTTTAGCCAGTTTTCTTTAGCATCAAGGATATTGATTAAATTAATTAGAGTAGCTGTTTAAAACAATTCTGAGACTCTGTTTCACAGAAATATGTTATTTTCTATGATTTTTCTATGTTTGGGGAAGGCATTTTACAGATTCGAAATTAGTTAACCTTGTTTGTTTGGAACTTAGTGAAAATGACATCCTCTTTTCAAGAGAATCAATTATCTGAACACTATTTATTTATTTATTTATTTATTCATTCATTCATTCATTCATTTGTTTTGATAGTCATGAATCATGATTTACTCATCCATGGGGATCACTAATAGGAATGCTCCCAATGGGAGATTTTTTGTTACACCTCCGCGAAGTTCGACATTTATCTTAGCGTCTTGATACATATCTTAATAGATTTGCGTGCTACTCCTTGTCATGACCGACAAAAGTACTTTTCCAGGTATCTTACCGGAAGGTTCTCCAAGTCTATAAAAAGTCATAGGCAGAACTTTATTCTAAACCCAATAATACTCTATGAGTAGTCTTACAGATAATATGCCATTGCTATGTTGAACCCCCCTCTCATTGTATGTATGAACAGTAAATTTTATCTCCCTATAATTTGCAGTCTTGTACCATTGTACAGTTTTAAATTTCTTTTTCTCTTAAAAATGGGTACCAACATATTTTTCCTCCAATCATTTAAAATTATATTTTTCTTCAAGTCTTTCTAAAAAGGTCTGTGACCCAATCGTTGTCAGATCTCCCTAAGGGTTTCCAACTTTAATGAGGACTTCATCAAGCCCAATATATGAAGTTTCACTTTTTCAAAGCCTCCTGAACTGCGGTCCTTTGGGTACTTCTCTTATAGTTTCTAGTAGTTTCCTCATCATTTATAGAAATGCTGCCGAGATTAACAACTAGCCCTCAATTAAATAGTTCATCAAGTACTATTTTGATTTTTCCCTAAAAAATTACTATTTTGATTTTTGACCTATTTTTTATCTTGTTTTCATGAACAACAATGACGGCCCTCTACTTCTTAATATTTAAGGCATTTCATCATAAGAAGGTTACTACTGATCTTGTTTTCCTCCTAGCTGTCTTGTAGATATCTTTCTCCCTTTTCGTTTTTAATTCCAGCTTATAACACAATCTTTGTTTATTTTTTGTTTGTTTATCATATTAGGTCATGACTAACCTTCAAGTATTAACTTACCTGCTTGCTAAATATTAAAGAGAGCCTTTTGAACAATTGTTTTAAAACGATATAACAATTCATGAACTTGACTAATTAGTGGAGATAAATATGACAAAGTTGTTGTGCTTCTTCTGACAGATATTTGATAAGTTATTTCAAAGTTTTGGAGGTGATGTTATGCAGACTTTATTTACTACCGCTGAAGGGCTTGCAACTTGCTCATCGGAAAACATGCAATATTGGCTAAGGAGATTCATCTTAGATGAAATCGTAGCTGTGACATCGTCAAATATCCTTTTTTAGAAATATTGAACACTGCATTGTTTTTGGTTTACAGACATTTTTGGTCACTCTTACACCCACTTTTCTTGTATATTCCTTAACTCTTCGTACTTATTCATTCATTCATCTTGTTAGTTCAGGCCATTACTTTGTCAACGTGCATAGTTGCTCACAACAATGCATTGTTTGCATTGCTTGTGTCAAACAACTTTACAGAGATAAAAAGTAATGTCTTTAAGCGCTACAGTAAGGATAATGTTCACAATCTTGTATATGCTGGTAAGTCATTCCCAATATCTTCAAGTCTGAAGTGTTGTGTACCTAGTTTTTAATGACATCATTATTTTGTTTTATGCTTTCCATGGAGCGGAATTTACTGGCTTTCAATTGATTTATTATGCCCTTATGCATGCAATACATCTCGAAATGTTTGTTAAATGTTTAGATCAGCACCATGACCAACACCGCCTTATTTTCAATCACTTATCTAATACGTAGTATATGTTGCCACCATCAAATCATGATAAAAGTAGAGGCACCTTTTTGTGCGTTTTCCTTTATGTTGCAGACCACTAACGAAGTATTGCATGAACTCTGCCCAGATTACTCCAGGCCCCCTCCCCCAGAACCCCATGGAGTAAAAAAAACAAAAAAAAAGATTAATACCCTCTCCTCATTATTAAACATAATCCTTTGTCCCCAACTGTTTTGTGGTGTAGTACCGTATTTCTATCGCACAACCATTCAACAGAACCCACGTTAGCCCTACCATCTGCACCCGGGAGAGGGGAGCAATTACTGTGTTTATGGTCTGGCTGACACCTCATTTTAGTTACTTCCTCCTGTTTTTTTTTTTAATATTATTATTTATTTTTATGGAATCACATCCTCCTGTTAGAGATGGGCTTGATGCATAACGGAAACTTTCGAAACTCTCTCTGTATTGTTCTCACAATGTATATTGTTGATTATTTCCAATTGGGAGAAAAGAGTCAAATAAGGCCTTCTACTATTACAAAATCGTCACTAAGGCCATGTACTCAATAAAGTGTCATATAAATACGTCTACTTATAAAAACCAATCAAATGAGTCCTAACGACCCGATCACAACCTCTTAATCCCGATTTTAGCTTATGTATCGTTATTTTTGCCTTGTATTTAAGCCAATCATGGCTAGATATTCCACGTCAGCCTTATAATTTATTTTAAAAAGATAGCCAGACGTACACTAAAACCGAGATTACGAGGTTGTCAAAAGATCATTAGGATTCATCCGATTGTTTTTTATAAGTAGACATATTTATATGACACTTTATTGAGTACATGATCTTATCTGACGATTTCTAGAAGGCCTTATTTGAGTTTTTTCCCTTTCCAATTAATGTACAGTTAAGAATATGGTACAATTTTTTGTTCCAAATGACAGCTAATTAACACAAAGAATACATGAGCGGGTTCAGTAAAATTGACTTGCGATTTACATGAGCTGGATAGGATATCAGACACGAAATTTTTGGTGGAAGGGGAAGAATTGCGATTTAAATTTTTCCATTTGGGCCCTTTCACATTTTTGTTTTCATAATTTGAAAAGACGTGTATTCAATGGAATGTCTTCTATATCATAAGTGTGTAGCCAGAGTTTGTAGTTTCTACACCATGTGTATACCATACCATATACTCAACTTGAGTTACTATGATTGATGGAAATAAAAAAAGTTAATACTGAATAGAACACTTTAATATTGTTTTTTAAACTCATTTTTATTTTTATCTTTATATTATATAAAGATTAAGAAACTTGAATATGGCAAAAAATTACAACTTTTGATCAAATTTTGATTAGCCTTCTATTCCCAGCATAAAATCTCAGATTAAAAAGACCTTTTTCCTCAGCATTATATTGCTTCATTTCCCCTGTCATTTTCTGAGATTCCAAGCACAGCCTTCAGATCTAGTGGCTTTCCCCTTCACTGTTAGTAGGATTACATAATGTACTTTTCAATATGAGGGCTATTTTTTAGAAATCTGCCTTGGAATGTATCCAAAATACTTACTTTTTATTCTCTGGGGGTTGTGTCCAGATGCTGTCGAGCGGTTCCATATTTCTGCATTTCTATTGTTTGTTTTGGCTCAAAACATACTTGAAGCGGAAGGTCCGTGGCTTCAAAGTTTTATTTATGTGAGTGGCTTTACTCCTAGTCTGTCCCCCTAACACTGTAAAGCCTGCAGGTGGCTCACCGTTCAACTTGGTCCCAATTTACACTCACCCTTTGTCTTTTGAATGCAGAATGCCCTTGTTGTGTACATATGTGAAATGATGATTGATATCATCAAACATTCTTTTGTTGCGAAATTCAACAACATAAAGCCCATGGCATTTTCAGAATTTCTTGAAGATCTATGCAAACAGGTAACACTAGATTGGCTGAGTGTATTACAAAAAGAGAAGGGATATATTCGATGAATTGCTATTATTGCCTAATTCGGTTTGAGTCTTTGAGACCATTCACATGTGAGCATCATTTCTTTTGTACAGACTTGGAACCAGCCTGAAAATGCCAAGAATAACCTGGTTTTCATTCCTTTAGCGCCAGCTTGCGTTGTAAGTTCTTGTTCTCTCTCATCCATAGGGGAACATTTTGGAGAGCAATGAGATTATAATAATCAGACCACTCTAAATGCACCACTTCTTTCAGCATTGACCTTTAATAAGAAAAGAAACAAATTGCAGGTAATTAGAGTGCTACGTCCAGTTTATGCTGCTCATCTTCCATATAGTCCCTCTCTCCTGGAGATTGTTTTTGGAATTTTTCTCCTGTCAGCATTGACCTTTATCATGCTAGCCAGCCTCAAAATATTAGTCGGTATGGGGTTGAAGAATCACGCCGGTTGGGTATATAAAAAGATGTCAGAGAAGGAAAAAGCTTCATACTGACTGACTGGCTGGCTCATCTTGATTTGATGGAAAATATACTTTCAGAAAGAACCGTTGTACCTTACTCTGACATTAAGGTTGGGAATGGAGGGAGAACCGCTTTTTGATGTGCTATGCCAAGCATGATGGTTGCTTATGGAGATATGTCTTGCAAAGCTGATAGCTGAAGTTTGTATATGCCTTCAAATTTTGCTTCATGGAAAAGACAACTAGTTGAGAATACACACAATTGTTATCGAGGGATAAAGAGAACATTTGAACGAAAATTTTGTCTATAAACTGCTTTCAGTCATTGGTAATTTATACAGTTAGTACAATGTGGGCAGGTTTTCACCCATTTACAACATGATTTGGAATTTAGTTCAACTATAGAATAGAGAATATTCTAATGTGAGATGATTTGCACATATAATGCAAGACGTCTACATTACATATCAAACCTGCATGGATTCGAATTGTCTCATTCACTCTACCTTTTCCATTCCGACCATTGGACCATAGCTTCCTGCTACTGCAGTGATCTGGCATTTTTAGACGCCTTGCATTAGAAGATTTCTAGTACCTGCAAAGGTTCAAACTACAAAAGGGGATGGATATTGTGCATACTTATAGCATAGTATTCAAACCGTGCAAAGTAAATTTTCACAAAGTATGATTGTTTAAACTTTATAGCTAATTGGTCCTATACTTATATAGTTATTATAGCTTGGGTTTAGTAAAACTAGCCCTCCTAGAATTTGTTTTGGGCAATTTATACTGGCAAACAAAGTGCAATCCTATTTTAGAAAATTCAGAATCTTTTTACACGTAACACGTATATAGAGCAATTTCTTTTATAGTGTATAGCTAGGGGTGGACAAACCGATTTAGTGTTTGGTTTTTATGATTCCAAATTTCCAATTCAATTTTTGGTTTAATTGATTGAGGACCATAGTATGAAAGTGAACTTGAATGTATTTCGGTTTGGCTTGAATTTAAGTTTATAAAATTGAAAATGATTACGGTTTGGCTTGAATTTATGTTTATAAAATTGAAAATGATTAAATGATGATGTGTGGGTTTTTTTAAATACTACTTTGATATATTTAATGGTTTGTTTCATTTTAAATCCAAATTAAATGAGCTAAAATAAACAAAAAACAAATAAAAACAAAAACAATAAAGGTACATAAACAAATCTTACAAAGTTATATCCAAGGTTTCATGTAAATTGTAAAATAACGGGGGGGGGGGGGGGTAATAAGAGTGGAACATAAAAATTCTAATAGTCACTATCAGAGTTCTCTATACATCACAAGAGTTAAGACCATACAAATTTATCCGTAATTTTTATTTGTTCCAAGAGGTTAATTAAGAGGATTACTGTGAAACTGCAAACTGAATGAATTTTGCTCAACTATAGAAACAGAAACATGTTTTACAATGGAGTAATATTTATTAGTAGAACGACAAAACCAAATGGGTCCATCTCTCAAACATACAAATCATCAAAAAAAAAAAAACAAAGGTAGATTCTATGGTACCCTAAAGGTACCGTACCTTTGTCCACATGGACCAATCAGAATGTTGCAGTTGAATTATTTAAGTCTAAATTAAAATTGATATACCTATGTGGACCAATCAAGTGAATGGTAGGTACGGTACCTCATTTTTTAAATGGGTACCGGAGGTTCTCACCAAAAAACAAATATTGTTCATCTCTCTCCATTTATATAAAGTAAAAAATCAAGTTTAAAAGACAACATTTTTTCCCCAAATAATATTTCTTATCGTTACCCTTATAGGACGTGCCCTTTTTTTATGTGCTCATTAATGTCTAATCTTATTTTCATTTTAACTACTTGAATTTCAATTTCAAAACTCTCGCTAACTAGTATATACTCCCTCCATCCCTTAAAGGTTTGTCATGTTTGACCGGCACGTAGAATAATAAAGTAAAAAATTGTGTGGTAGAAATTTGTACAGAGGAGAGATTAAAAGGGAAAGTGGCAAAATTTTAAGGACAACCAAAAAAGAAAAGTTGACAAAGTTATAAGGGACGGAGAGAGTATACATTATCATTCTATTATTTCTAACATGGAGGGCTTTGTGAAAGGGGTGATTGAAGGTTGAAGGATCAAGTATTAAAAAGAAGGAAGTGATTAGGATTGAAGGTTATGTATATCATCAATTCCAGAAACCCTCTTTCTTTCTTTCTTTCTTTCTTTCTTTCTTTCTTTCTTTCTTTCTTTCTTTCTTTCTTTCTTTCTTTCTTTCTTTCTTCTTCTTTCTTTCTTTCTTTCTTTCTTTCTTTTCTTTCTTTCTTTCTTTCTTTTCTTTCTTTCTTTCTTTCTTTCTTCTTTCCTTTCTTCTTTCTTTCTTTCTTTCCTTTCTTTCTTTCTTTCTTTCTTTCTTTCTTTCTTTCTTTCTTTCTTTATAAGAAGTTATAAAGATCTTATTTGTCCTTTAAATTATAAGAAGTCATTGGTTGATTGGAGACTTTCAGTTATGTCATGGGATTTGAAAATTTATATTTGTGATTTGATTGCATTCAATTTTATAATACTTATAGGTTGTAATTTTTCTAAATTATTAGATATTTCTTTGCAAATATAATAAGAATACTCGCTTTTGAGGCATTTTATACTCGCTGTAGAATACTATGTATGTTTTTCACAAATTTCAACCAGTCATTATTTTTTCAAGCATGATCCCGCAGTGGCGGAACCAGGACGTACTCGTACGTGACTCGCAGGGGCACAATAACAAAGAAATCATATACTACGTACTATTCTAAAAAAATCATATGCATCACGAATATAGCAATAAACAAAACTATAAAATTTAAATAAAAACAACTACTTAAAGAGTACCTTAATTTTGATTAGAACCTGACGCGTCAAAATGAAGGAGATTCATTGAGAGGCGACACAATCTTTCTCTTCGAGATGCCATACTCTGAAATCGCTTCATAATGACTTCATTCTCAATATTTTAACAAATACATCTTTCTCGATGTAACACACCAAGCAATATGTCAAGTATTCTTCTCCCATCTTGTAGCGCAAATCACCAACAATGTCATCATCGGACAATTTAACTTCTATTCGAGCCTTTTTAACATTATTGTCATTGTTAGGAATGACATTATCTGATGAAGAAACTAAATTATTCGATGAAGAACCACCGATGCTTGTCTGTTTAGGTTCCAGTGTATAATATCGTAACATAGCGATATTTTGTCAAACAACCTTGGCCAATTACAATTGAAATAATATGAGTATAATTGTATAAATTACATTATAACAAATTAACAACATTAACTAAATAAGTAAATACACAATTATAACTTTACAATATAATTAACATTTTAATGAGATTATCAGTTATCACAACATAATAATTGACAAAAACTTCAACACTGTATTTGAATTCAACAAATAAAAGTATTCAACAATTAACATTTTATTTGAATTAAATAAATACAATTCAATAAATAAATTTTTTTAAATGAAATTATCATAAAAACAATTAGTTTAAGGCATTAAAAGGCTTACTAGGAGCCCAGCCGTCCAGGAGTCTAGAGGCGCAGTCGCTAATCGCTATTCTAGTTCCTACTTGCTGACTCGCTGCTGTGATTTGCTGGTGTTGTACGTAGGGGCAGGGGCTTGACCGCTTGAGTTGGGACTTGGGGTCTTGGCGTTTTTGGCTTTTGGGGAGTTGGGCTGCGGGCTGTCCCAGGGAAGGGTTTTTGGGATTGGGTTGGCACAAGGGAAAAAGCTAAGGTAAAGGGCTTTTGAGATTGAGTTGCAGGGGCTCAACTAATTAAATGTTAATATATATATATATATATATATATATATATATATATATATATATATATATATGTATGTATGTATATATACACACATACAATATATATATATATATATATACATATAGGGAGTGGTTCTAATGAGAACACCTCCTATTGTGAGAAATGAGCACATCCTAACCCACCATCTCATTGAATAAACGGTTATTAAGTAATTGACTCACCATATAAAGATGGACTTGCCCACATAGTAACATGTCTTGTACAAATGGAAAGTGGGACGTGTAACGGTGTAAGTAATAAAGGACATTAGAGTAATTTTATAATTTTATTTAATGTAGTAACGAATATAAGACAACCACTTTCCAAAAAAGTAGGTAAAATTAAAATCTTATATCATATAAAATGTTTTTGTTTTAAAATGGATTTAACTTTTTAAATTGTAATCCAATTTTATAAAAAAATATATCAAATTAAACAATTTTTTTATCTTTCATATGACACCAATATCCCATATATATATATATATATATTTTAAAATAAGTATTATATGTATACAATAAACCACAACAATAATTTCCAGCTATCATACACACAAGAATATGTATCTAATGCACGACAATCAATATCTAATGCACACGAAAAGTAGTTTTCACAAATAGTTTGTATGTAAAGCACCAAAACAAGTATCTCAATCACAAAAAGCAGTATCTAACACACAACAAATAAGAACTAATACAGAACAAATAAGGATTTCAAATAATTTAAACTATATATAATATAATACACATCAACTAGTATCTACAACACAATACTTATAACGTTAGAAACTTGTATCTAGCACATAGTATGGACATAGAGAATCACAACAACTACTATCAAACACAAGAACCGGTATCTAACACACAATCCCAAATAGTGCATTTTAGTGACACAATAGTGCAGTTAGTGAATTGTACGGATGCATATGATTGAGCAAAATATGCAAATGTTATATATAGTTGTGCACAATGTTCTAAAAGGCGCTAGGCGCTAGTCGGGCGCCAACCCAGCGCCTAGGCGGCTAGGCGGGCGCCTAGGCGGGGACTAGTCGGAGACATAGAAATTGCATTTTTATCTATATTTTTGCATAAATATTTATGATAAGTAATATTGTATTTTTGTGTGTATAAAATACATATATACATATACATTAACAAACATGAATTATATAATTCTCACATTTAATCATACGTAGTATATGATATCTAATCACTTAACTTCATTATTTTATAAATATAAATAATGATAACATTTAGGTATATATACAAACATATATGGTTCTATCTTTATTTACAAATTCATTTCTTTATATCCATGGCTAAAGTTAAAGTATGTATATCGCTTAGAAAATTAAAATTAAAAAGTGAAGTAATTTTGACAAATTAGATGTAACACCCCCAAATTTCCCTCCCAAAATAATACTTAAGAAATAATAAACTTTTATTTATTATTCAAAACTTTCAATTGTTTGCAGCGGAATTAAATACTAACAAGGAAAAGGGGCGTGTTACCGCCACATCCCAGCCCTAAACCGACTGGATGCTAAGGCTATCCACCGTAAATGTATCT